GTAGCTTCGTATAATTGCGGATGAACCACTGATGTCACATGGATTATTTTAAAGATCTCCTTGCTACGTCTCTGGACTTGGGAACATTTCAGTTGTGTTGCTGTCTATGCAGGGTCACCTCTCAGATTCCATCAAAAATATCTTAATTTATGTTCCGAAGATGAATGAAGGTCTTACGGGTTTGAAACGACATGAGGGTGAGTAATTAATGACAGAATTTAAATTTTGGGGTGAACTAACCCTTTAAGTGAAGAATATGCCTGCCTGAGTAGTAGCCCATCTGCGAATAGCTGGCCGGGTGAAACAGCAGAAAACTCCATCCAGTAACCTAAATGTGTCTGACTCAGATCGGAGCAGTGGAGAAGTGATATCCAGACAGTAGCTCATTGCATCATGGCTACCTGAAAACAAATAAGGGTTCATTAATTGTCTGCATTGATAAGTATGTTTCACATACAAAACACATGTTCAATGCAATAATATAATAAATAAATCGTAAAATATTATACAATTACATAATAACATTTAATAAATACATTTATTAGTTTTCATTTAAAAAATTTTTTTTAAAAACGATGTAATTGAAACTTTCCTTGTGTTCCACAGGGGAGGCTCATTTCCGCCACTAACTAAATAAATGAATACATAAATGAATTCATTCATTCGAGCGGGAAAAAGTCCGAATTGTGAGATAAACAGTTGTAATGTAAACAAGAAATCCGAGGGGGGAAAAATAATTGCGAGATGTAAACTCATAATTAAGCGAAAGAATTCAAAATTTTAAGATGTAAATGTAGAATTCTGAGAACAAAAGTCAAAAGCGAGTTTATAACTAAATTCTTTTTTTTAAATCGCAGTTACTTTTATTCCGTGGCGGATAGGGGCTCACCTGGTATTGAGAGATGTGTTAAAGGGACATCCCACAGTTTCTCTGGCAAACATGACATCCAGTCCTCACGATTAATGTCATCCTTCTTAATGTGAGCCATCAGTTCACTGGATCATATAAAAGCAGTAGCTCTTTACAAATGAATCCAAATGGCTGCGTTTGAAAACAAAATGAGTTGATCAGCTGAAACAGTCCGCGTTTGAGCGAAAACAACAGATAACACATCATCGATAATACGGCTCAAAGCCCAACTCTTTGTAAAGGTGACCACACAACCTCAGCGGTTAGTGAACTCCATGTTTCACGAAATGAAAAGGATTTTAGAAGTGTTACGATCATTCTTGCACACGAATGTCTATTGACGTGTCAGCTCGGCATTTCCTCGTTCCCTGCTGCTTCAGTCTGTCACGCTTTACAGCTGATTGCAGAACAGCCTTTTTTTTGTCTTTTTTTTTTGTCGCTGAGTTATTTTGTTTTATAACATTAGGCTATTATTAGAATATTACAATTAATTTTCCTTTCTCTAATCAAAGTGACAGCTAGTGGTAATATTGTTAAAAGCAATAAAAAAAAAAAAAGTACACTCCACACTGCTACATTGTCCATCCTGTTATTTATTTTACCATTATGTAGCCTAAATAATCAAGTTTGATCAGAGCATATGTAGGAAAGGCAGATATTCCCTTTAGAAATATGGCAACACAATATTCATGTTATTTACTTGCAAGTTGCCATGGTTTAGTAATCTGGTGACCTTTCATCATTTTATCATCTTTGAGGTAGAAAAGACACAAAACTCCATTATCAAAGGTTAACTTTGACTAAAGTCTTTCAGCACGCTCCATAATCAATGAAACAAGCGCAGTGAAATGCTGCTTTCCATGTCAGCTAATTCTTGCTTTTGTTTGTGTGCCAGAGAAGACTTCATTTTTAATAACTCAAAACACAATTCTTTAAATATTGTTTGATGTTTTATTTATTGGAAATCTTCAGATATTAAATATGAGTATTTGATATGCAATTCAACTGTTGATATTTGTGTTAGTATAAGCATATTTGTTTGTGATGCAAACTGGTATCTTGATTAAACTGGCTTAAATTGCATGCTACTATGGCAGAGAACATGTGCAACCACAGAAATATTCCAGTGTCTTTTCATGCTTTTGATTGTGCACCATGCAGACATGTATTTATTGGAATCATATTTCCATAGCCATTCCACAGAGAATGAACAATCCTGAGTGTTTGATAATCTTATGTTTATGCAGGCTTGCATTGAGTAGACTTTAGCAATTCTCATGCAAACTCTGATGCTCACAGGGAACTTATTGTGTCCTGTAATGTGCTTGTGTCTGGAGTAGTACTGTAGATAAAGTTGTTGTAACCTGGACCTTGATAATGACATCCATTTGGAACCAGGTTCTTAAAAATGATCAATAGTTTTGCAAAATCAGAGGTGTATATAGCGGAGACTGCATAAATAAGCTTAAGACAGTAAGTTAAAGTCATAAAAGTCAGTGCATTACAATATTCTACCAATAACTCAAAATGATCTATCATCCTCAGGGTGCTTGCTTACACACTAGAAACCGCTCTGTCGGAGCATTTGGCGGACAGGAAAGTGCAAGTGATCCATTTTGAGGGTATGGTAAGTACTTTTTGTTGCATGATGGCGCATTGGTTTCACAAACCCTTGTGTATTTCCTCTACGTCCTTGCAGTGCACCATCATCCCTATTCCCTACTGAAATGAATGGAGCTGACGCAGCATAAACTCTAGTGTGTAAGCACCCTTACAAAAAGTGCAAAGTTGACTAGTATAAAAAAACATCACAAGAACAAGAAACACTTCTTTCTTCAAATGTTAAAGACATTGTGCAGCTAATAGAGGCTCAAGGCTCTGGTATTATGGTCCTCTTGAGAAGATTTTCATTCAGTGCAATGACGGTTGGTATGAACCGGCTCTCTGTCACAAAGTCCCCGGCTATGATGTTGAGGGAGCCAGTGTTAGAGCCAGGCTTCTGTTGCTTGACCCAGCTAAGTAACGTGGGATATGTAGACATCACCATATCCTTCAGGGATTCTGTGGGATGGGAGCATATGTACTTCAGATCTTCAGTAAGATTGATCCCAGTCACAAAGAAGCCGCCTGTGGAAAATGATGCACATGAGAACTGATGTTTAATTGAACTTTTCCAAGAATAAATAAAAAAATTAATGTTTAATGTTACAGGAAACATTTTCACTTTTCCAAGTGAAATTTTTCACATTTTTCACTTGAATCAAGAGAATAATTAATAAAATTAAATATAAAAAATGAATAAAATATATTTTAAAAATTAATGGCATATTAATGATTACCCGGTCGGCCATATTGTTTCCTATGTTCAAATTCCTCAATCAGCGCTTCAGCCTTGCACTTGTTTGCCCACCAATAAGGTATCTGGAACCACAATTCTCTGTGGCAGTTGGCAATATTGTGCTCGTATGAAACGATAACTTGATGACCCTGGCTCCATAATTTCCGTAGTGTCACACACTCCTGTCAGAAAAATCAGAAGTATGTTTTTATGATTTTTCATAATTTATTTGAATCAACATAGTAATATATTGGAAATATATTGTTACTGATGCCACTTCTCATCATCTGTTTCTAAAATTAAATAATACAAAACTGATGCGTACCATTTTGGGGCACAGTTTGGAATCAAAAACACTCTTTATAGTTGAGACGAGCAGTGTGTGAAGCTCTTGACTAAGGCCCAGGAAGTGGCTAAATGAGAGTATGACTACTTCCTGTGGATGAACATCCAACCACTCTCTGATCTCTTTTAATACCATCTGAAATAACACAAGAAATTGGTTCGATTCAATGAAAAAGCATTTGTTTATATTCTTCAAACATCAAACTCAACAGATTAGAACCACTGCACTTATCAAATTACACAACAAATAGACAAGATGGGAAATGCTGTGCTAAGACTTTTACATGTTTAATCAATTGTTTTCATAGATTTGTGTAGTCAGTTGTCTTACCTCCACAGTTATAGTGGTATAAACACCATGGTAGAAGTAGAGATCATCTGAGCTGTCATTAGGCCGATGTGCTATCCTCAGGTCACAGTATCGCACTCCAGAATCCAACTGCTCCCTAATGCTAGACTCCTATGGTAAATAATGTAAAGCACAATCATTAACAATGCAGGTGCAGTAAAGATAGTGCTGAACAGCTAGCTGTTACAAACAGTGTCAGTGAAACCACTGAAAGTGAAATAACCATTTCTGTAAAAACACAATACTCTATCTCACCTACAGATTTGGGACAATGTGCTCATCCATCAGTGTTATTTTTGTCATAACTATCCCATCTAATTGTGCTTTCACTGTAGCAAAGCCATGAGTGTTTGATTGATTTGCTCAGGACAGCAGACGGCAATTTATTCCCCCTCATGCTGATAGATTTCAGAGACTCATGCTCTAAGGGAATCTGCTGATGCATGCTGACATAAAATCGTCTATAACCTCATGAAGTATTTGATACCATAACCAGCATAATTGCAGTTTACGTACATGTTTAGCCATTCAAATATGAAAAAGTCAGCACTTCTGGATAAAGAATTTAATCATGCATTTTCTGATATAGCATTAGTGATTTTGTGTTTCACTATATGAAGGACAACAAGGCTTTCAATGAACTCAGATGGTTTACAATAACTGTAACTGAAAATGTGAATTGTGCAACCATTGTCCAAAATGATTCCAAGTAATCCAATTGAAAATGCAAGAACATGTAATGGTGATTATTATATTAATTTTACTGAAATAAAAAAAAAGCCTTATCCGAAAAATGGGTCAGTGACGACAATCTGCGACAACATACAGTACCTGTGTTATTGCCCACTTGTATACAAATGGCCTTATGATGGGCTTCATGTATTTGTCCAGCTTTTGCAACATATCCGGTTGAGTGAGGTCCACTGGAGACCGGTCATTCTTATCCAGACAGTAGGTTATGGCATTATGGCTCCCTACAAACCCATTAAGACAATGACACAATGACTGTGAGCACTATAATATAGATAAGATAATATAGGCAGCCTGTAAAAAAAAAAAGGAAGAAACTGTGTTCACTCTAATCAGTTAATAGTGGCACCCTCCTAATATAACAATATTCACACTTTCAATTCAAAATTGTGGATTAATATTACATTTAAGCCATAAAAAGAATTGTGGGTACTCATTGAAAACACATAAAAAAGTCAAAGTCCCACTAAAATTTTTATTTTAAGTACTCAAACATGCCAAACAAGAAAAAGCAGTTTGCATGCAATTAGTGAATGTATAAATGAAAATGTGAGGTTAAATACCTGGAATGGCCATGTAACAGAGAGGGGTATCCCACAGTGCACTGGGTAGATGGGCCATCCAGTCGTCCATGGGAAGCTCACTTAATGACAGTTGGCTGATCTCTGATGTCATCTTGGATTTCTGTCAAAATGTAAAAGGTGAGCGAATGCATATGTAATGTATATCATTCAAGTTCAACTTGATAATTTGATAAACATCCAAAATATACGGAAAAGACACCGGCCTTTGGATAAGGCTTAACCAGAGAGCCTTCCTAGGTCAAGCAGCTTCATCAAAAGACCATGTTGCTGGTCAACACCATGGCTATGCTGGTCCATCATCTAGACCAACACCAAACCAGCATGGAAATTCATCGTGGTTTATTTAACAGGGAAAAGACTAGTGTCTATGCAAATATAGGACTTCATTCAAATGAAATGAATTGAAATGCACACTGTCATGAGTTATAAAATATCAGGAATTACCAGGCTTTAAATTTGGTTTCTTAGTCCAGGAAGAATATTTCAGCAAAGATGTTAAACTATTTTAATCCGGTACACTTGGCACGTGAGTACAGGTTAAACCGGCTTCAACAGACTCTGATGCTGAAGGACTCGGATGCTGAAAAGAAACGAGATATCCGTCCCCTTCAATGATTCCCAAAGCTCCATGGTGGTCGTGTAAAAGCGAGATGGATGTTACGCGGTGCTGAACTTGTCATTGGCGGCACAAGGTTGAACCGGGCTGGGTATCCACAACAAAATACCGCGTTGATAAACGAAATAGTCCGGAAGAAACTCTCTCTTTTCAGTGTAACGATGAGATTAAACTTGTTTCAGACTTTCCCTTTCATTTCCATAATCAAACGAATCAACGTATTGCTGGACGTTTAAAAAATCGTCTTTTGGAGCGATATTATAGAAAAGAAATGGTGATAGAAACCGTGCACTTGTCCGCAGCATTCTCCACCCGGTCAGTCTGACAGTTTTAGAAACATACTACGGTGAAGGCTTGAGTCATTAATATTAATGACGTAACGAGACGCTCTCCCCGTAGGGCGAAATTATTGGCTGAAAGGCAGACGTTGGGGGCGACAGCTTGGCTCATGAATATTAATTATGAGGATTGGCTGGTCAAATGGAAGCGTCGTCAGCCTTGCCTAATTAATATTCATAAACCTTCCCCATAGTCGGATTCGAACGACGGAGGGGTTTTTTTTAGGCAGATGCTAGTATACTTTATGACGAGACAATTGTCCACGCAATGAATTACTGTCAATACAATTTTCGCCTTTCGTTAATACAGGATACATTTGGTTGGGCAAGTTACTTTCCTCTATTGTTTTCTTTAGTGATGCAGCTCCTCTCTGCTGCTGTGAGGGAGGCAGAATGCAAAACTGCTGACCTCAGTATTTAGAGAAACAGTGTTTCGCGATGACACGGGACTTTTCTCTAATACCACAACAGTACAGTACACAGAAGATACGTCTCTTTAACACTTTAATGCCGATTAATTTGAACAGTTACACTGTGACTCTAGCTGACCTTCCTTTTACTTCACTGGAATTCTATAAGATCAGCATGGAGTGGCTTCAAGGGCTTCTTTGTCATGTATTATGTCACAAAGTTTGAAAAACAGGACAATATAGTACTTCGGCCATAGCAATAGTGCTTTTGCACATTATGCAAAGTGTCGAACAGTGATAAGAATAGTCTAATGTGCCCCCTCTTGTCTCCTCTGAGGCTGGGACTCTAAACAGTGTTCTGTGCTCGTCTGTGCAGCCAAAGGCAGAACAGTTAGTGTGTTTTGCTCAAACTTTCACCATGGCATTAGAACTGGTACACCATTGTCGCTTGCGAAAACACAATAACGGCCGCCGTGGGTGTAAACTTTTACAGATTAAGGGCGGTAATATTCTGAGATCCCTTTGCCATGTCACCAAGGGAGCGAAATCAGACGCGCTCGTTTTCTCAGACGCTTGCAGAAAAAGGCTTACCAAAGCAAAGTGACTGGGTTAATCTTTTTCATGTTTCCTTGGTTGGTAGATGCACTGGGGACCTGATTATAGCACATAAAACCTGGAAAAGTCCGATTTTCATGATATGTCACCTTTAATACAGAACCCAAGTAGTTTATGCTCCAAGCTGCAATCACTTCAGTGGCTCTAGTTAGATTGTTCACATGGTGATAGAAAGATCCTAATGGATGCATATTTCCATCACATCAGTCTAATCAGGCAAAACTCATTCTTTAGGAATAGATAAAAACACATTTTCAGTTATCAATACAAAATCTGTAAATTTTTTAGTGTCAAGCTGCTATTGAAAAATAAACATCCCAACCTAGAGCCTTACTGTGCTACATATCTCTCCTTTGTAATAATATAATGTTTAGGACTGGATAATGTGTTTACAAAAGTCTATATATGTATATGTATAGAAGTTTGGGTCTGTACCTAAGGGTTTTTGAAAGAAGTCGTCTTTTGATCACCAAATCTGCATTTATTTAAAATTCAGTAAAATGTATTTAAAATCAATTTATGTAAAGTTAAATATGATCAATTTAATGCATCCTTGCTGATTAGAAATAGGCTATTAATATATTTCTAGAAAAAAAAGAATGGTTGTTTTGAATGGTAGTGTACTTTTAAATTCAAGGCACTGTGCATTGAAAAATGTGTTGTGAGAGGCTTCATTCATTATTAAGTTTCAGAGCTGGTTAGTCATTCATGTGTTTCAACAATGTTTAATACTTCTTGTTTATGACCTCATTGAAAGGGATCTTAATTAGCCTACTTTTGTCAGTTTTTCAATTCTCATGTGGACAAGTTCATCTAGTCAAGGAGTGTCCAATCTTGTTCATAGCGATCTAGTTACCAGTTTAGGTCCTGCTCTGTTCAAACACACCTGCTTGAACCAGCCAATGAAAGTCAGAGATCTCTCAAATTACACGCAGGTGTTCAAGAGCAGGTTGATCATTGCCGCAGTTGAGAACTCTAGTTCTTTACTGTTAAACCATGACTAGAAAGGTTACATAGTGCCTTATAAAAAGAGCACTCGGCAATAGTGATGTTGTAATAGTGATAATCAAAAGTGATTTTGAATAAATTAAACATTAATATTGTTATCTACGATAAGAATAAAATAATACACAAAATTTTAGTTACAGTGCTTACTATTACAGTAATTGCACTGACAATTAACATTATAGTGTAATTTACATTAGCACCAGTCATGAACACATACAGTTGCAAACAGAACTTATAAATAAGCAACATAATATTGATCAGAAATATTTTAAACGTTATTTCACGGCTCTCCGGAATACTTGAATTTGATCAAAGAGAACATCCACTTAGCACCAAGGTGCTGTGGGGGTTTATTTAGCAATAATGGCTATCTGACTGTATGTCATCCCTTACTTACATAAAGCTGCAGAAGTGGATGTTTCTTTTACTTTCTATGATTTATATTTCTCTTTTAACAGAGTGAGTGCTGCGCTTGTTTAACACTAGAGTCAAACTCAGCTTTTTCCTCAAATGATCAATAAGCCTTAGGCAGCACTGAAGTCCTGCTGTAACAGCTAATACAGCAGCCGCTCAACCAAAAGAAAATCAGTTGAGTCCAAAGATAAACTGGTTAAGCTTGAAAAGAATATCAGACGACAGATGAAGTGACATTGAAATGATGGGCAGCAATATTGAATGATACACATGATTTATATTTCTCTTTTAACAGAGTGAGTGCTGCGCTTGTTTAACACTAGAGTCAAACTCAGCTTTTTCCTCAAATGATCAATAAGCCTTAGGCAGCACTGAAGTCCTGCTGTAACAGCTAATACAGCAGCCGCTCAACCAAAAGAAAATCAGTTGAGTCCAAAGATAAACTACACGACAGATGAAGTGACATGGAAATGATGGGCAGCAATATTGAATGATACACTACTCAGTTTAATATTTAAAACTGAAGAAAGTTAGACTGTTAGAAGACAAATAGAGGGCAGTGTGGCTTCACACACACACACCTACATTAAGAATCAAGCTCTTGAATTGTTCCACAAACATACAATTACCAGTAAGCACAACTTCTCTGAATAAACCTCTTCAGATTATCGAGTTCTCTTATTGTGTTAGTTGACAGCAGGAGGAAGGTACAGCCTGAGGAAACACCACAGAGTGCAGAAATGGTGGTTTCTGGAGCGGAGAAGATTAATAAAACTGTGGAGAACACTTCCATTTGGACTAGCCAGAGGGCTCTGGGAGAAGAATGAGATTGAAGGAAAATGACAGAACACTAATTACTGCTCTAGAGATTTACAGGAACATGACCTCACAACTTAAAGTGGTGGATATACTACTGTTCAAAAGATTGGGGTCAAAAAGTTTCCAGGGCTGAATTTATTTGATCAAAAATACAGTAAAAACATTGTGAAATATTATTACAATAAGAAATGAAAAACTGTTTTATTTTTTTAAATGTAATTTATTAATGTGATGGCAAAGCAGAATTTTTTTTATCACATTATCATATGATGACCTGGTGCTCAAAAAACATGTATTATAATTGAAGTTGAAAACAGTTGTGCAATTTAATATTTGTATGGATACTGTGATAAACTTCAGAAAGGTTCACAGGATTTATTTAAAACAGAAATCTTTTGTAGAATTATAGATGTTTTTACTCACAAATGTCCCTTTTGATCAACTTAATTAATAAAAGTAATGATTTCTTAAAACTTGAAGATCTTTTAAGATCTTACTCACCCCACAATTTTATTCAATTTTATTATTCATAGCACTTGCATATTATTACTCATTTGTTGGTTTTGATTGCTTCTATTGTCATCATTTGTAAGTTGCATTGGATAAAAGCGTCTGCTAAATGACTAAATGTAAATATATTTTATTTTATATATATATTACATATATATTATTATTTGTAATGAACTCTGAGCCCAGGTTATTTGGCTGACTTGGATGGACATATGAATGCTTTTATGCTGAAACAAGTGTTATTTGTCTTGCTAAAATACTCACTACATCACATTAAAAATCAATTCTTGCTTTATTACAGGCCATTTTTCATGGTCTTTTGCAAACAAAATGAAAGAGTCTGGTGCCAAGAAGTGACAGGAAAATGGATCTGAGAAAAAAAGAAAAACATCCAGCATGAAATTTATTCTAAATATGAACATTAAGGCTTGACATTTCTCTTCACACTCTGAAGACAGATGGAAGACCATTTCAGTTGCACAAGCACACTTTCTTTTCAACTCAAGCATGCCAATTTTAACATTAGCAAAGTGGAAACAAATCAGAAAGAAGAAAGATCAAATAGATGGAGGAACAGAGGAAAAAATAGGCAAAGGAAAGAGTCCAGCCAGACATCAGAACCTCAGAACAATCAAACAAACATGATTTGTCAAATCAGAGTTCTTAAGTCTTTATTTATTTGCATAAGCATATCAGTAAGAAAGTAGGATAACGTTTCAGTACGAGGAAAGCATCTCAATGTGCTCCACATCTTAACACAAACTATGTACAGTCTAAAAAGTGAGGTTCCTTTTATGTACAGAAATACTGCTTCACGGCCCATAAAACCTACTGTAGTCCAAGTGCAGCAGAAACACTATGGCTGGTTAGAGAGACACAGTGATATATATCAGTCCATACAAAAATAGACCAATCACTTGCCAGGGAGAACTTTTTGGCACACTGTACTAAAAATCATCGGCTGATCCTCAACAGAGGAAAACAGAATCTGGCGCTTCTGAATAGCGCCAGAGGACTACAGTAATTTGTGGCAGTGGGTTTGAGATGTTTTTAATGCTTTGCAGATTGTCACCTTTGAACTGACGTCCTAGAGCCAAAAGACAGTTTTGCTCGGCTGGTAGACTTGATGTAGTTTCCAGCAGGTCCTCTCTGGGTTTGCCTCCTCCCTCCCTGTCGACACTTCCCTTTAGC